TTTTAACTCCCTGACTTTGACTTTGTTGAAGACACCAGACCTTTAATTTTAAGGAATATTCCGCAGTCTATATTTGTCTGCCTCACTGTTTCCTTGTCCTCTACATTTTCCATAAATGGGAATTAGGGTGAGAGGGTTAGTTAGAGGCAGGTTCAACACGGCTGGCGAGAGTACCTCCCAGGTGAAGCTACGTGCTTTACCACAAGGCCCGAAAGACAGAGCTCCACTGTCAGGTGGCTCTGCTAACAACAACGGCCAGTGCTGCAACAGTGTCTACCATCCACAGTGGTGGCAACAGCCAGACCTGCCAATATACAGTGACGTATTTCCCTTTGCAAGCAGACTGTAGGGCTTGTGCCCTGACGTTGCACAAAATCCATTTCCCTACCAACTTCTCACCTAATGCTTCCCACGTCCATTGACGACCCTGGCCCGAGCGACTCCACCGGCGCTGTGAAATGGCCTTTTCTAGCCGTCTCCTTCCTTCGTTCATTAGCTTGCGCAGTTGTGTAAGGAAGAGCCCTCCCTCCGCAACTGGGGCTGTTTGGCCACATTGAAACGCACTTCCTGGGGCAAGCGCAGGATGAATGGCCCAGCATAGTAGTCTCTACAGAAAATCCAGAGCCACAAGCTGGACAGCAGCAGTGGCCCAGCAGGCAGAGCCAGACGACACCCCGTTGGGGGCGGGAGATGTGTGGGTGTTGGGTCTGCCCGAACCTTCCTGGGTCCTTCATGAGTTTGATAAATATCTATAGCTCCAGGTGAATCAGCGGGTGGAGTAACAATCAAAGTGACAAACTGGTCGGAACTAGTCACTGGTTTTCCTTTCTTTGTTGTTAATATCTTGTGAATTCGTTTTTTCACAGTTTCACTTTAAGTTTGGCCACAGTTTTTTTGGTTTGGTAGGTTTGATTTTTTGTTTTTGTTTGTTTATTTTGAGACAGAGTCTCGCTCTGTCACCCTGGCTAAAGTGCAGAGGCATCACGATAGCTCACAGCAACCTCAAACTCTTGAGCTCAAGCGATCCTCCTGCCTCAGCCTCCCAAGTAGCTGGGACTACAGGTGTGTGCCCCACACTAGGCTAATTTTTCTGTTTTTAGTAGAGACAGGGTCTTGCTCTTGCTCAGGCTGGTCTCAAACTCTTGAACTCGAGATCCTCCTGCCTCAGCCTCCCAGAGTGCTAGAACTATAAGCATGAGCCACCAAGCCCAGCCGGCCACAGTTTATGTTATTTTAGCTGGTTTTCACGATTTGGGGAGCTTCTGGTTTCTCTGAACTCTGTTCTCATACAACAACATGCTTTTTAAAAATGTATTTGTTAGTCTTTTTGTTCATCTTTAAAATTTTAAATCTCAAAATCATTTTCAGGCAATCTTGGCTGCCCCAATGGCTTCCCAATCCTGTCCCAAATTTTTTAATTTGTCTCTGGTGCTATATGAAATGCCCAAAACCAAATTTAGTCAAAATGAGCATTTTCATTGTTAACTTTGGTTGCACCAAATGGTGATTTTTTTTTTACAGCTTTCCAAGACTTATTTCAAGGACTATCTACAATCTAAGTTATTTTTGCATTTCTAAATTATAAATTCATTTAAGCCTAATACTTCTTACTTTAATCTCTTTAGCTATGTTTCTCACATTTTTATTACATATTTACTTTGTACTTAGGTAGTTTTCATATAGAAAAACAAAATCTCCAACAGTGACAAAGGCATGGCCAATTTCTTTTATTGGCTGTTCCTGAAAACAGCATTAAGATTTTAAATGTTATCCTAAGATTGGAATGTGGAATAAGGAGGTGAGAAACAGCTGCATAAATCATTTCTCACGTCCATCGTTCCGTCCATCAGAGGCAGCACTGTGGCTGTCACCCTGTGGATGTTGCTCACTGTGGGACAGAGCTGTGACTTCAGCTGAACGGATCATTGTCGGAAAAGTGCTGATGCCTTCGTCTGGCTATTCTTTGTTTCAGGGAGCTAAGCCGCCATCATGAAAAGATAACTCTGATTCCAACTTACTAAGGGCCCTGACATGCCTGAGGGTCCGGGAGCCTTCCAGCCCTCCTTTGGCGCAGCTGACTGACGCGGGTTAGGGTGTTCTCGTCCGCTCTCTAACACTCTCTCCCTGCCTTTCCCAGAATCCAAATGCCCTTCCTATTTTAGAGGAACATCCGTTATGGAATCTCGGAAGAGTCTGGGCTCCACCCCACCTTCAGAGGACTCCAGCCTTCCGTTGGGCTACCCAACACCCCTCTGATCCATCCCCTTCCGCTCACGTTTGCCATTGCCCGTTTCTGTTATGAAACCAGAACCCAGACTGAACTGGAACCCCTGAAATATAATTCCTCCTGAAGGAAAGAAAAGTCTGATGTAGTAGGCCAGACCTGGCAACTGGCAACTCAGCCTGAGGGTGGGAGAGTAATAATAGATCTTGCCTGGCTGGCTCTTGGCCAAGCCCCCCCATGCCAATCGCCATGGCAACAGGAGCCAAGCCACCCAGGGCCCAAGCAACTCTGCAGTGGGATGCCTGGTGCAGTCAGGGTGGGGTGCCGTTCCCCCACCCCTTTCCCGTGGAACACGGGCAGCGCTCACTGGATCGAAGCCCGAGGAAGGCCAGGGCAGCATGGCCCAGAGCAGCCCCGGACAGCGGCCAGGAGGCAATGGCACACCGAAGGCAGCAGCCTGCGCAAGCCCTGAGAGTGCGGCTTTCATGGGGGCCCAGGGAAGAGGAAACATGGCCCAGGGGCTTTGGCACATGCAGACTGAGCTACAAGGCCGTGTGCGATAGGGTTAGGGGGAGAAGCTCTGAAGCCAGACGTTCTGGGGTTTCCATATTAACGCTGCCACTCACCAGTTGTGTTTCCTTGAATAAGTATCCTCTCTGTGTCTCAGTTTCCTCATCTGTAAAATGGGATGACAGGAAGTACACCCACCTCACACTGTTGTTTTAGGGATTAAACCAGCCAACTCCTATACAGTACTTACAGCACGCACACAGCAAGGACTCAATAAATGCCACAGTTAGTGATTGACTAATGCACTATTTTACTATCTATAGTTCTGTGGAAGAAGACAGGAGCAGGTAGGGCTGTCCAATCAGGGAAAGTCCACTAGGATCGTGAAGGTGACTTCATTTGAACCCACAGGCTGGTGAAGCCCAAGTTCATCAGAGCACCTGAAAACTCGATGGCTGGCTGCAAGCCCTAATGCAATCATGGGTCTAGAGTGAAGGAAATTCTTAGACGCTGTGATAGGGATGTAAATTGTCTGGCAATATTCAACTGGAATTAAACATTTGCTCTGCAAAAACCTAACTATTCTACTCCTAGGTATGTACTTAGAAATTCATGCATGTGGTCACCAAAAGATACATGCAAGAGTGTTCATGGCAGCATTCTACATAGTAGACAAAAAATGGAAAGTACTCAAATGCCCAGCAAGAGTAGAATGGTAAATTGGGGGCGGGGGCACACACCTGTAGTCCCAGCTACTTGGGAGGCTGAGGCAGGAGGATCACTTGAGCTCAAGAGCTTGAGGTTGCTGTGAGCTATCATGATGCCTCTGCACTTTAGCCAGGGTGACAGAGCGAGACTCTGCTCAGCGGTGAGAATAAGCAAACTAAAACTACACCCAACCAACACCATGGATGAATCTCACAAAATGTTGAGCAAAAGAAACCAAACACAAAAGAGTACTCACTGATGATTCCATTTATATAACATTCAAGTTCACAGCCAGGCAGAACTAATTTATGCTGTTAGAAGCCAGGAGAGTAGCCACCCTTGGGAGGTGGGGGCTATCTGGGAGGCGACATGAGAGGAATTTCTGGGGTGCTGGTGAAGTTCTATTTTTTGATCTGGGTGCTGATTTCATGAGTGTGTTCACTTGGTAAAGATTCATCAAACTCTTATGATTTATGTTCTTTTCTATTCATATGTTATACATCAATAAAGATTCGCTTTTTTTAATGGCTAGAAAACGTCACTTTTAATTAGTTCATTTTCAAGCAAATTATTTGCTTTGCACTGTTAAATGCCAGGCACAGCACTAAATGCAGAGGGACTCCAGAGTGGTCCAGACACAGTCCTCTCTCCCATTGGGCTCAGACGAGGCCTTGACACTTGGCACAGCAGATTAAACCTCTGCCCTTTCCTGTCCAAGTACTGCCCCCCACTCAGGCCTGAGTCTCAAGTTGCTGGTTCCAGGGGGCATTTTCCACCATGAGCTCGAGAATCGGAGCTTCCAGAGACGCCCTTGTCTCCACCGGCCATACTAGAGCCAAGGTGGCCATCGGCTCCGTCCTCTCCTTTCTCTCGCCCTCCCCCACCCACTCAAACTTCCTGGACCTTTCTCAGCGGGGCCAGCCCCCTCCCAAAGCCCCAGCGAGAGGGACTGGAAACAGGACTCAACCTGGCATTAAGGAGATGCGGTTTCGAGTTCTGGCTCCAGCGTCCCCTGGCTGTGTGACCTTGGGCAAGTGATCCCACCTAGCTGAGCTTTAGTTTCCTCATCTTGAAAAGGAACTGTCACTCATACCTACTTCATGGGGTTGTTGGGGAGGACATAAGGGACTAACACATTGAAGCGTTTAGCACAGAGCCTGGTACATGGTGAGTGGCAGTGACAATGGTTCAAATGTCCCAGGTATACGTGAACTTAAATTTTATAGGGAACAGTCTCAACCATGATATATAAAAACAGCCTAAACCTCATGGTAAAAGAAAGTCATAACCAGAGGGCGAGGGCAGAGACAGGGGCCCACTGACCCCTCTTTGCCCTCAGAATTGATGACAATGACGTGGAGGATTCTTTCAGGAGGACGTAGGGAGGTAGAACTCAGGGGCACTGTTGGCAGGATAGACCGTGCAGCCAGTCTGAGAGCAGCTGGCATTATTCAGTGCCATTAGGTATGCTTACGACCTGGTAGAGGGGTCCACAAACCTACAGGCTCAAATATTTTTGTAAATAAAGTTTTATTGGAACATAGCCACGTACGGTCACTTACATGTGGTCTCCCGCTGCCTTGGTGCAACCACAGCAGAGTTAAGCAGTCACAACAGAAGCCGCATAGCCCATGCAGCCAAAAACATTTACAATCTCACCATTACTGAAAGTTTGCCGACTCCTAGGCCAGGGACCCCGCTCCTGGGAGCAGAAACCCTTCCACTGGTGGCCAGGGATCCTCACTGCTATGTTGTCAATTGAGTGTCCATCTCCAAGGAATTGGTGAGCAAAACGTAGGCAATGGCCCTGTGGAACACAGTCAAAAGCAAGGAGCCAGATGCACGTACCGCGACACATGTGGTTCTCAGAAACATTGGGCCAGAAAGAGAAAATAAAAAGAGAAATAGAACAATCAACACGGCTAACACTTTTTGGGCATTTACCTTACATAGGCAGTGTTCTGAATGCTTTTTAAGCATTAACTCATCTAATCCTCTGGCCAACGCTATGAAGTAGCAACAATTACCATTCCATTTCACAGGTGGAGAAACCAAGGCACCAGGGCTAAGGGCAGGGCTGGGGTTTTGAACTCAGTTGGTGGTGTCCAGAGCCTGTGCTTTTCACTGCTACACTGCACACAACACAGTACCTTTCTGTGTATTAAAAACACAGCCATTCAAAAGGTAAATTTTATGTTATGTATATTTTACCACCAAACAAGATAAAAAGAAACACGCAGCCACATGTAAAGCAACATATGTCTGTGGGGACATTTACCAGACACAGTGGGGGGCTGCCTGCATGCGGGGACAATGGCGGGGAGGGACAAGGCCGTGGAAACCACAGACGGATGACGGGGCCTGCTGTACTGCCGACCGAGCAGGCGAGCACCTACGATCCATAATCTCCTCACCTTAGACACCTTAGAGACACTAAAGAGGATTCTAGCACTCCAGGTCCGGCACGGGGCGGATGGGAGCTGTGGCCATCGCGGCCTCCCCCGCTCCCCGCAGCCCAGAGGCTCCGCCCGGCGGCCGCGTGCCGCTGCAAGGCTGGCAGGGCCGACAGGGCCGGCGGGGCACCGCAGGGCACCGCAGGGCACCGCAGGGCACCGCGGGCTGCGCCTTATCGCGCCGGACAGAGCGATCAGCGTGGGGCCTGACTCGGGCCCTCCCCTGGCCGCGGCGGGGCAGCCGGCTTCTTTTCCCCGACCATCTTTGAGCTCGAGATCAGACACAGGGAAAGATTAAAACAAATATGAATTTAATCAAGGGATTCTGCTGTCCTGGGGTGGAAACAGGAGCCTGCTGACATAAAGAGAGGCTGCAGCGCTGGGGAGCCGGAGTCGAATCAAAGCCGCTTGCTTACCACTAACCGCTCAGATGATCCATATCATAACAACAAAAAAGAAAAACAATTATTTATTCTTTTTGATGTTGCAGCTCAGCAGCAACTTGCTTTTTGAAGAGAGCAAGGTCAAAACCAAGTTATTGTTTTTGCCTGAAACTTTGACAGGGACTGCGAGTTCTTCCGTGTGACCTACTTAGATGAGAGATGTGGGGAAGTTGGAGATGTTCATTTCTTCTGGGCCACGGATTAGGGGTCCTTTCTTCTCCCTCCTCCTCCTCCTCCTCCTCCTCCTCCTCCTCTCCATCTCTTCCCGCTAAGGACCTGAACAGACGTCGTCGCGGACACAAAGCAGCCACGCCAGAGTCCTGTCTGCGCTGGGAGAGCCGCAGAGAAGGCCGGGCCCTGGAGCGCTCCTCCTGCCCCTGCTGCCCTCCAGACGGCCGCGGCGCGACTCGGCCGGCGTGCGACGCCAGGGCCACGCCCGCGAACAAGTCAGCCTCGGCCTGCTCTGGGAGAGTTTGTCTCTCACGGGACAGACGTGTGAAGAGATAACGGGTCGTGATTCGGGGCATCCGAGTAGCCAGGGAGAGCACAGGGTCATGAGGAAACGGGCTTTGCAACCCAGACCCGGGATCCAGGGGCACCTGGTCGGTGGAGTCGGGTTGGCTGGGGAGAGGGGAGGGAAGAGAGCTGGGGCAGAGAGAACAGCACGCACGGGGGCCCGGAGGCGAGGGGGTGTGTGTTCAAGGAACTCAAAGCCGGTGGGCTCTGTGGGCGTGGGGAGGGCGTTAAGGAGAACAGGACACGTGGGGACCAGAGGTTTGGCAGGAGCAGCTCCGGCAGGGCCTCGTTAGGCCGCCGCAAGGAGCTGGGCTTCCTCCCCACGGTGACGGGAGCCGCGCTCGGCGTGTGGGCCGTGAGCTGCATGGCCAAGCCGCTTCCGAAAGTCCGCCTGGTGCCGCAGAGGGATTGCGGGGCGCGTGACCGGAGGTGAGAGATGACTCTGGCAGGGGCCAGAGAGGTGTCGGGCGAGCCAGACACACGAGGGGAGCTTTGGGAAAGCCGCGCATGCTAACAGAACGCGGCCCTGCACGGCAGAGGGAGGGAGGGAGGAGTGGCGCCCGGTGCCCCCCTTCCCAGCCCGGGACGAGCCACGCAGGAGAGAAGGCAGGTTGGCTGGGGGGGGGGGGGGGGACGGGACAGTGACAAGCTACACGTTGAGCGTGGGGGCCCAGCTGGAGACGGCCGTCGGATGCACAGGTCTGGGCTCACGCGGGAGACAAGGCTGGACCTGCAGATCTCGGAGGAGCCGGCACCTGCAGACACGGCCATGCCTGTCTGCCCTTCAGCCTTCAGCCCGTGCTTGCTTGGACTTGGACTTGCACATCCTTTGAGTCATCAGCCAGATGCTGAAACCCTGGTGACACCCTCATGCTGTGCCGAGCTCTGGGGAAACCAACAAGCACCACCACGTGTGGCTTCAATCCCATCAGATCAGCTTGGAAGCCAAAGTCTGGTGCGCTGTGTCCCAGCGTGGCTTCCCGGAAGACGCCGGACAAGGACAAGGATGTGAGTGCGGCTGCTGTGGGAGCACCGTGGGGGGACGGGAGAGAAGGAGCTAGCACAGGGCGGCCGGCGGGCAGGCTGCTGCCGTGGGCAGAACGGGCTCCCCCAACCAGACCTCTGGGGCACACCAGAGAGGTAGCCATGCAAGGGTAACAGAGCTGAGGGCTGGAGCCATCATTTCCCGATGGTCACCCAATCGGGCCTGTCCTGCGCCGGGCTGGTCACCCTCCTGCATCCTGAGAATGACCTCAGGGGGCTGCGGCATTTGCGGTAAGAAGCCAGAGGCGGGAACTGCGAGTGGAAAAGGCCCCGGCGCCGGGCACCCTAGCTCTGCCCGCACAGCCCCACCAAAGCCAGGGCCTTTTCACAGATGCATCGATTTCAGCTATTTAAAAAAAACAAATTAAAAAAAAAGCCTTTTCTCCAGACTCTATGGAAATTTATTTCTGCAAAGCCCAGCTCCAAGAAGGAAGCATCAGAGGGCTTGAGGAAAAAAACAAGAAATAAAATAAACATAGTATGATCCTCATTCCCGCTCTTACAGAGTCCAGACAGAAGACCAGAGAATTGAGAAATCTGAAAACATGCCAAAGAAACACTTCCAGATCCAGAGGACATCAAAATGGTGTTGTTGAAAATGCTAAAGATGTTTGCTTCACTTGATTTGCTCTTTGAAGGAGGCGGCGGCGCGTGCTTTTGTGGAGGGAGGAACGCATGCCGGGGCAGGGCCGCTGTGCCCACAAGTCCCGCACGGCCCCGATGCGGCCCTCGACATTTCCACACACGCGGGCCCAACTGGCATCTTCCAGCCCCTGCGTCCCTTTCTCTGGCCATCAGAGCCCTGGCCACAAGTGCCATCAAATTACCAACCCCTGGGGAGCAGCCTCAACCAACGACAGATGGGGAGTTGGGGAGTATATGCCCCAGCCTTCCGCCCTCAGGGGGTAACACGGAGCACACAGTCTACACCACTTCCCAGCCCTCCCCAGTGGTGATGGGCTTGATTGTGCACCTTTAGGGCGACCCCCCGCAGCGTCTAGTGGTGAGCCGAAGCCAGCTGTGCCAGCTCCCGGCGCCAGATGCACCTGACTCCCCACTCAGGTCTGTCACGCTAGTAGCTTGAGACCAACCATGGTGGGAACACTTACACCATGGAAATGGGCAAACGCTACAAATAAGGGATTTGGGTTTTGTTCTGAGAGCCAGTTTACCAGCACACCCTGCTCATTTTCCTACTCTTTTGTTAGTGCTTCCTGGCATTACCTCCCAAATAAATCAACTTGCACTCAAATACCTGCTCAGGGTCTGCTCCTAGGGAAACAAAAATTAAGACAGCTCCCCCAGGCCTGGGGACCAAGTACAGTCACCTAGCTCACAGGGCCCAGCTCGTTCTTACCTCCAGCCTCCTCTCCCGCGGCCTCTGCTCTTACCCTCCTGCCTCCCACACCCAGGCCACAGCCACATCTGAGTCCCCTGCTCTCCCTAAGGCCCCCAGTGGAAATCTGTCGCTTATACCCTCCCTTAGGGAAGGGGGAAAGTTGTTGTAACATTCTAGTTTCTCTCTTCTCCACATCTCTCCTGTCTCCATCTGACTTTACAGTTCATCTCACTAAAGAAGTAAAGTTTCTGTCCCCCCGTTTGCATCTGAGCTCAGTCTTGTGACTTGCTTTGGCCAATGGGACGGGGCAGAAGTAACGACGTCCCCGTCTGACCCAAGCCCTGCAAGGGCGTCTTCGTTTCTGCTTGCCGTCTTGACTTTGCTGTCACCATGAAGTGGACATTCCAGGCTGGCCAGCTGGTCCCAGGAGGAGGAGGGAGGAGAGAAGCAGACTGTCCCAGCTGACGACCCCAGAGGAGCCCAGCCTGGAGCCAACCGCAGATGTGGAGCAGCCAACGCTTCCCGTTGTCCCTACCAGGTTCCCCGGCTATCTGTTGCGCCAAAGGGAGCCGTCCCGCCCACTCTCCACCCGCGCGGCTCAGGGGAGCTGACCCGTCCCGCAGCTCCAGAGAGACTCGTGCCAGTCCGTGTACTCTGCACCCTGGCCAATGGTTATGTGGTCCAAGCCAGGCCAACGAGACACAACCCTGGGACACTTCCTGGAACTTCTGGGAAATAGATATTCACTTTCCACTGCGGTTGCATAGGTGCCGGGATGTCAGCCAGCTGCTTCAGGCCACCATCTTCCCATTATAAGGGAAAGACTTGGAGAATGGAGCAGTCACGTGCTGGTAAGCTAGTTCCCCGCCCCCGCCCCCACACACAAAAGCCCTGATTTGTAGCATTTGCCAATTTCCATGATATAAATACTCCCACCGTGGCCAATTTCATGCTACCAGTGATTTAACAACTGGTGCCCAAAATTCCTGAGTGTTTTACAATTGGCTCCAGCACACCCTTGAAATGGAACCTATCCCACAGAAAACAGAGCCAAAAGATGGAGAGATAGGCAGTATCCTGGTGGTATTATTTGAGCCCCTAGATCTAGCCATGCCTGAAATCCATTGATACCTCTGGATTTTACTTTTATTTGAGCAAACAATTCCCTTTTGTTTCTTCTAAAGCCAATTGGTTTGGGTTTATTTTATGTGCAACTGAACAAAGATGAACACCTATTGACATCCCCATGCTTCTCCATGCCTCTATGCCTTGAGGAATCACAATAAATCATTAAAAAATAGCAACAGCAGCAAAGCAACCATGTATGCAGCACCTACTATGTACCAGGCAACTTATTTATAGAAAAGTTACCCCGGCAATCTTCATATCAGCCTTACAAGATAGACATCATTGGGCCCACCCTCTAGATGAGCAAACTGAGGCACAGAGAAGCTGAAAGACTTGCCTGTAGGTCATCCTTGAACCACTATGAGAGCCCAGATCCAAGTGACACCAGAAGCCATGACTCACACACTGCCCTCTGGGCCTCTCTCACCTTAGCCGCCAGCAAGTCCCTCTGCCTAGAATGTTCTCTGAATTATCTCTCCCTGGTCACCTCTGACTCACCTTTCAAGCACCAAAGTATTAATGATTTCCCCAAGACCACCACAACAGAGTAGAGCAGAGCCAGGATATCGAGTTTGGTCTTTAGCCTGCCCAATCCCCAAATCGCTTTGCCAGTCACCTACGGAGAATGAACTTTCCAGTTCAAATAATTTCCCAGACGGCTCTGAGTAAAGCAGAAAGAAAAACATTGCTGAACACTGCTGAAACGCTCGCTGACGTGTGGCCAGTAAACCGGGGGCCTCAGAGCCGGTGTCTGGCCCTGCCCTACACCTGGGCTCCGCCGAGCAAAGCCCTTTGGCCCAGGGGGGGTTCTGCTAGTGGCCAAGTGCTCAAGAGCAACAGGGTCTCTTGGAACTGGCTTCTTTCTTCTGACAGTAGAGAATGGTAGCCACCTTGGGTCCGAGCTGGTGTGCGGCATTCTGCACCCCCGCACAGGATGGCTGCTTCTCCCATCGGGCCAGTCCCTGCCAGCTGTGTCACCACCCTCCCAGGTACTCAGGCCCTGACCACTCCTTCTCCTTTGCCCTCTCCCCGAGTGCACACACGTGCACACAGAGCTGGGCAGCCACTTAAGCCTGACTGCAACTGCACCAGTCCTGGTTTGCAAGTTACAGAAAACTCAACTGACAAGCACTGTCTCTGGTACCTGAGCCCTCCAGGGACATGTCTGATGTAGGGGCTCCAGTGATGTTCTTTGTCTCCCTTCCCCAGTGTGGGGGTCCCAGAAGTGTCAGGTTTACTTCCTGCCAGCCACACATCCACAGGAAACAGAATTCCCTTTCCCTAAGTCATCTGACAAAATCTCACTGGCCCAAATTGGGCCACCCTTGAACCAACCACTGTAGTCAAGGGACAGGCACACGGGTTAGCTTGGGTCAGGGTTACATGCCCTAGGTCTGGGTGTGGTGTCTGTCCCACCTAGACCACAAGGACTGAGTTGGGGGGAAGAGGTGGTTTCCCCAAGGAAAATGGGGAGATTCTTACCAGAATAAGAGAGAGTGGACACTGAACATAAAACACAAAATTGCCATGATGTCCACCTCCCTTCTAGATCACCATCCAAGTCTAGACCACCATTATTTCTAAGCTAGTCCTCTAACCGCGACTTGCAGCTCCCCATCTTGGGACAGGGTCTCGGTCTGGTACCCAGGCTGGAGTGCACAATCACAGCTCACTATAACCTGCAGCTCCCAGGCTCAAGCCATCCTCCCACCTCAGCCTCCTAAGTATCGAGGACTACAGGCATGTGTCACTATGCCCAGCTAATCTTTTACAAATTTTGTAGCAATGAGGTCTTGCTATGTTGTCCAGACTGGTCTCAAAAGCCTGCCTTGCAGTGGTCCTCCCACCTCGGCCTCCCAGAGCGCTGGGATAACGGGCGTGAGCCAGTGCACCCGGCCAACCTTCCCATCTCAACAACCCTCTGTACGTAGCTCTCTTTCAACTTCCACTCAAAAAAGCCCCCACTCCAGTGGCTCCCTATCGTCCAGCCCATAAAATCCAACGTCCCACACCTGAAATTTGAAACCTTCATGGTCTGACCCCAGCGTAATTCTCCAGCCTCACCACCCTCAGCCTTCCTCCCTTCACTCGTCTGCCCGACACGCCAGCCAAACCACACGAGCTGCTGCTCTTCCAACAACACCTTGTATTTCTCTCCTTGGAGCCTTCAGCTCATGCTGTGGCCTTCACCTCGGCTGCTTCCCAACTCCCACCTCCACTTTCCCCTGTCCCTGAAATCAAGCCAGCTCAACAACCACCACCCCAGGCTCATTTCTGCTGAACCCATACCAACCCCAGTTCTCCAGTCCAGCTACTCCTGCCTCAGCCCCCAGCCCTCATTGCCTGGGCCTCAGCTCCCTCCTCTTGGCGTGGTTCATCTGCAAAGGAGCCGAGCGCTTCTGAGCAACAGTGACGTGATCACCTGAGCAGGCACCCTAGGTGATCGAGCCAGCTTTGGCATTGATCAAGACTCTTTCAATTGCACAAAACCAAACTCACATCTCTTTAAATGCAAAGGTAATTGGCTCAGTCATAAGCACACACAGAACAAGAGCAGCAGGCATGGCTGCATTCAGAGTATGCTATTCCTCCCTTTCTCTCTCCCTCTCTCTCTCTCTCTGATTTCTACATTTTTGGGACATGATGGCCTCTTTTCCTCCCACCGTCAATAGCTTCCTTCATGTGGCTGGAGAAGGCAGCTCCTAGTGATTCCAGCTTACATCATCCTTATAACGTGGATCTCAGAGGACGGAAGACTATCTTCTAGCACTTCTGGTAACAAAATTCTGGGGAGGACTCTGGCCTGGCTTGGTCACGTGTCATTCCTTGAACCAATCACAGCGGCCCGAGGAATAGCATTCTCTGACGGGCCAGGCATGTGTCCCAAGTCCATGGCAGGCTCAGCCCCACCCTTAGAACCACATGGACTAGGCCCCCTAGGAAAGAGGGGTCTGTTGCCAGAAGATAAAGAAAGAAAGATGATGACTTACCCCAATGCCCTCACGGCACCCAAGCACGAGGACTGATCCACGTGGTGGTTGATCAACTTAACTGTTGCTGACGACGATGGCTGGAGAGGTGCAGATGGCGATGACAACAATAATAGCGCCCACCTGTTGAGCACCCGCATGCCAGGCACTCGTCCAGGTACTTTGCAAGTATTAACTCCTTTACTCCTCATGACAACCCTATAAGGTAAATACAATTATCAGTGCCATTTTGCAGATGAGAAAAGTGAGGTACAAACAGGGTAAGTCACTTGCCCAAGGTCTCCCAGCTTAGAAGTTAAGAAGCCAGGATTGAACCCTGAGAGTTTGGTCCCAGAGCCTGTGCACTCCCCACTGCCCAATACCATCCACAGGGAGAGCGCGGGGGTGTCCAGTATGGAGTGTCCTTGCAGGAAAGCAGAATCTGCCACCGCAGGGCCACAGTCTCTAATCTACCCAAATTCTCCTTCATTAAAACAGGCCAGGGCCAAGTGCAGTGGCTCACACCTATAATCCCAGCACTCTGGGAGGCTGAGGCAGGAGGATTGCTTTAGGCCAGGAGTTTGAGATCAGCCTTGGCAACACAGCAAGACCCACCCCCACACACACTACAAAAAAAAAAAAATATTAACCAGGCATGATGGTCCACACTATTGTCCAGCCCATAAAACAAGTAGGACTACTACTTCCCTAGTCGGAGTCCCAGCTATTAATATCTGGGAGGCTGGGGCAGGAGGATCACTTGAGCCTAGGAGTTCCAGGCTACAGTGAGCTGTGATGGCACCACTGCACTACAGCCTGGGTGACAGAGCAGGATTCTGTCTCTGAAAGAGAGAGACAAAGAGAAAGAGAGAGACAGCCCAGAGGCCTGGCCCTGCCCCCTGCCCTGAGGAAGGAGGTGTGACATGACCCCAACCACCACTCCCCACCTGGCCACTCTCCCCTCCAGCTAGCCCCGTGTTCCCCACCTCACAACGCCCCGCTCAGCTGCGGGTGCTGCAGGGCAACATGGCACCGGGCCCTGGAGGCTGCAGGAGGCTGGAGGCCACAGAAGCCTCGGTGCCAAGAGCAGACGCCAGCGCCCCAGGCCAGGGCCCCACTGGAGAGGGTGGGAGAGGACAGACAGACAGCCCGTGAGAGACGCACAGGGAGCAAGCAGCGGCAGAAAGTGGGACAGAGGGATGCAGACACAAGGGAGGGCCTCCTCCTCTTCCCACAGCCCTCACTGTCAACACGTCTCACTCTCCTGTCTGGACTGGGGACAAGAGGGGGACAGGATGGGTCAAGGGAAGCCCTTTTAAAACAGGCAGGCAAAAGTCGAGCAGCACCTCGGGCCTGGGTCCCTCTAGCTCCAATTCTCCTCAAGCTCCTAGCAGGGCACCAGAGGTGAAGCGAGGAGAACAGATGCCCACGGGGACGCCCCACGTGGCACCCCCTGGGCAGTGGGCCTGATGCTCAGAGGCCCCAGGATCACCTTGGCCACTTGGCCAAAGCTCCAGAAGCCAAGGCCTATGGCCACTGAGCCCCCAAAGGGTTGGGGACGGGGGGGAGCAGGGGGAGCCGCAGCAGGACAGCAGGGGTGGCGTGCCAGACCCTTTCCGTCTCTCCCCATGGGATCGAGCTCCCTCCTGACCCCACACCACACAAGAGCCCTGTCTCTCTGAATATCTGCTTGCTCCAGTGGGACACAGACTTGAGGTCTTGCTTTGTCCCCAACCAGCTGTGTGACCTGGGATAAGCCCCCATCTCAGCCTCCATCTCCACAGAGAGGGGCCCTTCGGGGCTGGCGTCCCGTGGTCCCGTGGTCCCATGACTGCATTGGTCCTCACCAACCTTGGAAGCCAGTGGCGCGCTCACAGGGATGCTACTCAGGGACGCCCTGCATTCTGCCCCGCCCTCCCCAGGAAGCCCCAGCCTGTCCAGCTCCCCACTGCCGCCTGCCTGGCAAACCTTAGCGGTCCCCTCCCCGCCAGGCCTGGCCAAGTAGCTGACCAACCATCCACGGAAACTAAGATGACCCAAGGTGGGGTGGGAGCTGAGAACAGCGGCAACGACCAGGCTGAGGCGGGGACTGAAGGCAGCGTGCGCACACAGAAGAGGACAGCGGGGACACGCCCCGGCGCTGCCCCTCCGTCTCCACCGCGCGGCGCTGGCCCCTAAACGACACACGTGGGGCTGCAACTGCAGGTCAGGACCCACCCTGCAGGTCCCAGGAGACAGACCCGGAAATCTTAAAGGGAGGCGGGAGGGGGGAGGATGACCCACGCGACATCTGCCTCCTCCTCCTCGCGATGACAGGGCCTTGGCGGCAGCCGCGAGGGCGCCCCAGCCCCGTGCGCCCGCGGCGCAGCGCGTCCCCACAGCTGCGCCAGTGTCAGCCGCGGCGCCCCACCCCATCCCCGACAACCAAAGGCACCCCTTCCAGAGAAGAGAAAGAGGGAGCTTCATCATTAATAGCGCTGGCGGCAAGGTAAAGCCGCCCGCCCGCCCCCGCGCGCCCTCGCCGTAATTATGCCAGCGCGCCTTTCATCCCCACGCGCGGAAAGTTTATTGTTGTATTCCGGCCTTTTTTCAGTCTCCTCTGCCTTTCATGCAAGGGGAAGGGTGCTGAGGGGTCAAAGCACCTCCCCCACCTCCTCTCCCTGATGCAGTCCTTTTAGAAAAACACCCAAAGCCATAATTTGTCTTAGAATTTCTTTTGAAACAGCTACAAGAAAGACTAACGACTGCTCTTTTCCCTCTGTTTCTGATTCCAGCCATCCCTTTATCTGGCTTTCATTAGAGCCTCGGCCGCGCCTCTTTTGTGGGGGAGACTTGAGGGAGCCGAGGCAGTTTCCCAGCCGCTGTGATGTTGCTAAAGATTAAAAAGGAGCTTTGAAGCTGCACCAGTTCTCTCTGCGCCCCCTCGGTACAGGACCTCAGAAAGACCCAAGCCATCTGGCAAAGCTGACATAAAGACAAAATAAAGTGATTGAAACAGTCTCTTCAAAGCCACAATGGCAGATTTGTTGATTTGGGCGTTATCTTTCATGCGAGGCCCTCAGAAGTCACCAGAACACCTAGGTAATCTCGGGCGGGCCTGACTGGAGTGGATGGAGCCTTCCAGGCCGGGGACGCAGAGGCCCGGCGGAGCCTGGCAGGGGCTGACGGTGGACCAGGGCCTGGGAAACTCCACAAATGGATCCAGCGCCCGGCCTCCGCGACAGTTTCCAGCGAGGCCCGCTCCCCTAGCCCCCGCCTGGGCCCGCCTGCGGAGGGGCGCCGGACTCGGCCGGACCGGAAGCCCACGCCAGGCTGTCCTACGCAGGAGGGGAGTGGCAGGAGATGAAAGGCCACCACTGCCCTGATTGCAACCGACTGCCTCTTGGTAACACCCTGGCAGCTTCCGTACCAGAACCCGCTTCTCCCGATGGCTGTCTGTCGGGGCCCGGGGTCTCCTCGGCAGACAGGCCCTGGACCAGCAAAGAACCCAGAGACACAGAGCCACAGGCAGCTCTGCCCCAGTTCTGCACTGCACCGCGCGACGCAGAGCCGGCCCTCAGCCTGCCCTCCCGCAAAAGGGGCAGGGCCTGTCCCAACCGGCAGAGCTTCCTCATCCTGTTGGGTGCCAGTACCTGGAGGCCTTGGGTCAGGGTGCTCCGCTAGCCTGGAAGGGAAGCCCGGAGGAGGTGGAGTTGGGACTACCGCTCAGCAGACCCCCGCCCGGTTCCAGTCCGGGGATCTGGGGAACACCACTCCACACACCCACTACTGATGCAGCCTCCTCGCGGGGCCTCAGTTGTCCCAGTGGTAAAATTCAAGGGCTGGCGCGCACCGGAGCCATATTCAATTCCTGGGGAGAATTGGGGTTCCGTGAACGTTCCTGAAGGGGTTGAGGCAGGGTCTAGGTCAGCTGAGCAGGCAGTCCCCAGGGTCCCCGCCTGCTGCAAACCGAGCTGCTCTGCTGTCGTCTCTTGCACACGCTGGGCTTCACAATGAGATCTCCGGGCTTTTGTTAAGGGTCTGCTGATTAAAACACACATACAGTTTAAAAGCCACAGGTCTCAGGGGGCTCCGCTCCCTCCTTGTGACCTTCTTGGGCCTGTGATTCTAATCAGACCCTGATGATCTCAATAAGAGCTACACTTTATTCTACCCGGTTTTAGCAAAATAATGAATTCACAAGGTCTGACCATCAATCAAAACCCAAGAATCTATTGAAGGCCCGCTCTGCCTTGCCACCCCGAAAATGTAATACCTGCCTGTCCTCGCACACTGGGCCCAGAAAAGATTCCTAAAGGCTGGTCACACGGCGGACACAATAAATTGCTTTCTAAACCAGGGAGAGAGGGCCGCTGGCCACAGGCCTGGGAGACAACTCACCCGCGTCTTCCTTCCCAGCTCCTCCACTACCCTACCCACTTCAGAGGACCCAGAGAGGAAATCCCTCATCACGGCTGGTCCCCAACCACCCTTCCTTCCTCCCAGAAGCAAAGTTGGCTCTGCCACCAGGGTGGGAGGCCCACACCAGAGATTTCCTGGCATCTTGGCAGTGATGGGCCAGTATGAGATTAGGCCTCCATCTGCGTGTCCTCCCAAAGAGGGAGAGGAAGGGCAGCTGCCCAGAGAGGCAGGGCCACAGAAGAGCACATGTGAGAGGAGGCAGCCTGCCCACCAACCGCTACAGGGAACCTTCCAGATAGAAAATTTGCCCCTCCTTTTCTAACTGTGCTTCCACATTTTCTCTGTCTGGTGAACTCCTACTCATCCTTCAAAACCCATCTCCAATGTTACTCCAATGTTACCTTCTGTGAAGCCTTTCTGAGCTTCCTTCTCTCTCGGCTCACATTGTTTCATCCACATATGTCTCTGAAATTAAATGACAGTATTTTCAGGGAGAGGGCACACATCTGGAAGTCAATGGACTTTAGTTCAAATGTCAGCTCCCTTACTCATCAGCTGTGAGACTTTGAACAGGTCACTTTGCCTCTCTGTGCCCCAATTTCCTCATCTGTAAAGTGGCTAACACAAGACGCATCCTCTACAGTTGTTTTGAAGATTAAGTACTGTATGTGAGAGAGCGTAAAATTATGTCCAATACATGGGCTTGAGAGGCACTCAAGAGAAGTGAGCTTCATTTCTTCCTTAGTAGAGTGTGAGCCTCTCAGAGGCAGGAACCAGATCTTCATTCACTCATTCACACATTCATTCATTCACCCAGCCATCACCACTGAACTCCTGTTGTGGCCCAAGCCCTGAGCCAGAAGCCAGGTTATACGGCAGGTCACAAGACAGACTCCGCCCAGGGACCATAAATCTCAGTTGCTCTTCCTCATTTGTGCGTCTCCAGCACCTGCTTTTGCTGGCACTGTCCCCACCTTCCCCAGGTGGTTTGGCCAGGCTGCAAGTTGCCTGTGCCCAGGATGGTCAGCAGGTCTCCTTCCTGCACTTGGCGTCCTCCAGGGAAGAGCCTTGTCTGGCCACTCTGGGAGGAGAGAGTTGAAGAGGAGCCGTCTTCCCCATTCTCGGGGAGCTCCTGGTCAGTGGGGCAGACCCTCATGTCAGCCCTGGGGAGTTTCAGCCTGATGGAAGAGACAGGCACGTAGCTCCCAACCCTGGACACTCCCAAATCTAATGGTAGAGTCACATTTTCCTGATTTGGGGAACCCCAATTCTGGGAGCAAATAGTAGGGTCCCATTTTCCCTGACACTACCAACTCTTAGTCTGGTCAGGGAGATACATGGCTCCCCATCTTGGCCCAGTCTGACACTGGTGGGGGTGACATTGTTCTGTCATAGGAGGGCACCTCTTCTGATGGGAGAGGCAGTCTGTGCCCACAGATAGCTTAAGAGTCAGATAAAATAACATGTATGGGAGGAAAAAAAAAGAGATCAACCTAAGGTCCCTTTAAAAAGCTAGCTGTGCACGGTCTCTGTCTGTTTGTGGACTCAGAAGTGACATCCCTGGCCCTGCAGATGCACCCTCCTAATCCACAGGGCTGGACACAATGACACAATCACTGCCTCACAAGCATCCAGCCAAGCTCCCTCTCCAGCGGATGCAAGCCAGAGCTGGCCTGAAGCCCCGTCCCTGCCATCTCGTGCCAGCCGTGCCAGGGGAGGCTTTCTCACGATCAGGGACATCTGGGCTGGCCCAGCTCCCAGAGGCCACCGACATGAAAAGCGAGGGGCTCCACGGAAACACCATCTGCACATCATAAAGCCGCTCGGTGGTTCCCAGAGGCTGCCTCCAGCTGTGACTGTGTTGCCCGGAAAGCTGAGGAAGGCACCAAGCGGCCGGCAGGGAGGGGAGGCCAGGGTGGGAATGAGGGTGGCCAAGAGGGAGAGCCGGACTGGAACCCCTCCGCCTGGCTCTTGCGCACTTGGAATCAATGTCTCCCTGTCACCGCCTGGGACCACAGTGGGCTATGCCTACCCCTGAAGATGACGCGGTGACGGGGAAGAATACAGGAGCGGTTACGCACTCAGATTCGAGTGGCACTGCCTAGGTTCGTATCCCAGGTCCACTCTTTAGGTGAGTGGATTGACTGGCTGAGCCTCCGTGTTCACATCCGTGCAGCGGAGATGGTCACGATCACCCCGTGCGGCAGGGTTGCTATGGGAAGTAGAAGGATGCACGTATTGAGCTGTGTACTTAAGATCCATACACTTAACCCCTGTAATTTCTGTCCCATACCTGATTTAAAGTAAGTGCCCAGTCACTGCTGTCATCTTCGTGCCTCCCAGACAGGCTCCTGGAACTCCAGCAGCAGGCATCTGTAACCGGTGGAGAAGCAAAACTTACCCTCTGCAAGTTTGGAGCTTTTGAGGACATTTCACTGCCCCTCCTGCCCGAGGCCCCGCCCCAGCACCAAGGCCGCAGCTGATTGGACGAGGGCTGGGGCGTGGCGCGGGGGAAGCTCACCTATTGGCAGTGGAGCAGAGCCTACAACATTCTCTGAGAAGAGAATGGGCTGGGGCAGGGAGGAGGGGAAAGAGACAGAGATGTGGGAACAGCAGAGATAAGGGAGACACAAGGTTCCTGAGAGGCAGAGAGATGAGAGGGAAGAAGGCCGTGTTCCGGGTGCCACAGGAGTCCCTGAGACAAGGCTATGAGTCCTGACAAGAAGCACAAACGCAAAAACGCACGCCGCACACCCGACACCCCATCACACCAACACATGCACGCACACACATGCACGCACACACACGTGGACACACATGCACAGACACACGCACACACATACACACACGCACGTGCGCACGCGCACACATGCACACACCTGTGCACGCGCGCACACACACGCACGCTCCTGTTCTCTGTTCTTCACAAGGCCCCGCCCGCACCGCGAGCAGCCTGCAGGCCGGTGAGTCCCGCAGGAGAGCGGTTTGGCCCAGGGGGCTCAGAGGCTGCAGGAGACGAGCAGGCCTGAACGACAGTATTTGGAGGGTGGCGCGAGGGAGAAAGCGTGGGAGACGCAGAATACAGGCGCACAGAGAGCTGGTGGGGAAGTCCACAGGGTGCCCGAACTGCGGGCGGGCCGGGATCTGCACAGCAACGTGTCTCGAAATCACCACCTGCCACCGCTCAGTTCTGCGTCCTCGCGTGAGCTCCACGCGGGAGGTTGCCCCGCGCCGGCAAGACAGGGCGGCCCCTAGAGCCGGTTTTCCCTCGACCACGGGCTGGGGAAGCCGTGCCGGGTCTCAGCTGGGGCTCCCCAGACGCAGACCTGAGTCAAGGATTTTAGTGCAGGTGGATTCTTCGGGAAGTGGTCACCGGAACGCTGGTAGGGCGTGGGAAGGAAGCCGACAAGGCTGCTGCCGTGCAGGGATCTCTGCGGGCACCCGGGCCCACCCCGGGCCTGGGAGAGACAGGGCACATCGTGCGCCTCGGAGGGAACCGGGTTGATCGGGCAGCGTTTGGCCCCCAGATCTCTATTGGAATGTGATCCCCAGAGTTGGGGGCGCTGGTGGGAGGTGTGTGGGTCACGGGGCGGACCCCTCGTGAATGGCGCGGTGCCCTCCCTGCCATAGGACCGAGCTCTCGCTTTATTAGTTCCCCAGAGCTGGTTGCTAACGGGCCTGGTCCCCTCTGTCGCCATGTGACAGCCTGCTCCCCCTCGCGGCCTGCCGCCTCTGTTGGAAGCTCCCTGAAGCCCTCACCAGAAACAGATGCTGGTGCCACATTCCTCGTACAGCCTGCAGAGCCGCGGGCCAAACCAACTTCTTTTCTTTATAAATTATCCGGCCTCAGGTATTTCCTTGACAGCAACACAAGACGCACTCGCACAGCTCCCTTCCGCGTTGGCTGAGGGCTGCTCCAAGGGCTGAGACTAGAACTACTTAAATTTTGCACCACTGGCACCTCACTTGTCTTGCCTGGCTATCGCGGCTGCTCCTAAGTGGCATTAGCTCCCTGGCCCTGGCTTGCCGCGCACATGGGTAGAGCGGGCCCAGCAGCCTGAGAGAGCCCACAGGCAGACAGCCGAGGACTGGCAGTCGGAAGTTCAGCCACTGTGCAGGGAAATGGCAAATGCCAAGGGGCTAGGGGTGGGGCACAGACAGCTGTTGCTGTACCTAGCAAAAATCTGCCAGTGTCTCAGAGGTTCTGTTTGGGTCATATGTTCATCCCTGGACCGATCACAGAGGCCGGAGCAATGTGCCGTGCTAATTGAATTAGTCTTACGATAGAGGTTGGGGGATGGGAGGGTGGTGAGGTACGCCCCTCGGTACCGCATCAAAATGGTAAGAGTGGACTGCAGCAGGTCTCAGAGGGAGGTATTATAAACGGATGTTGAGTGGCTAGAAAAACAAATCACACAAATGACCATCGCTCAGCCCCAAGTTGCCAAGTAAACTGGAAGGTGAGAGGATTGGATTTGGCTCGTCAAAAGCCTTTCCAGCCAAACCCTTCAGCTGGCCACTTGCCCTTAGCAGAGTTTAACGCATTAATTGAGCACTGACCTGTACCAGACATTGTGCCAGGCTCTGAGGGGGCACAGATGGAAGGTGCCATTTCTGTTCTCTGGGAACTCACAGGCAAGGCTGGCAGTGGGGATGGAAATGACAATGACCACAGTTTCAAATATCATTTCATCACATCTGTTAATGAGATGCCACTGATTGCAACACACACAATTATTTCATGAGCCACCAAGAAAAACTGAGAGCTGCCAATAAAATTATGTTCCACCATAGATAAGATTCATCCCAATTTCAGAGATATGAAATGTAAAAACAAAAATGTGTTTTAGAACTGATGGAGTATGGTAATAGATTTATATTAATAGTTTATAAAGGATTTTTCATAGACTTTATCCCATTACCTTCTCACTACAAATCTGTTGAGAGTGATATCGCTGCTATTTTCCATTCCATGAAACTGCACTCAGAGAGACCAAGTGACTTGCCCAAGGTCACTAATCTAGCAAATGGCCAAAGTGGGACTCAATCCCAGGTCTGGTTGCAGAACAGAGGATACCACCAAATCTCCCTGGGAAACTTCCTTAACTCTTTGTCCTTCTTTTTACCAAATATTGACTCCTCCCACGTCTGCTTGCCTCTCGGCTCAAAACAGGGAGCCCAGGAAGCACCAGCTCCTCTGCTCCCAGCCACCCACATGCCCAGGCTTGAGATTTCTGTTCCTGGAAACCCTCTTCCCCTCCAGGCAAAACAGTCTTCCTTGTGACCACAGGCAAATGGTATAGTCACCCACTCGTTCCCAACTTCCCTCCAGGCTCCTGCCAAGGTAAGCACTTCTTAAGCCTGGGTCCCTGCCAAAGATTCCATTCTTAAGGAGCCAGGCTCTTGCCCCTCAGCACACCTTAAATTAGATCTGTCTGTTAATGGTTTATATGAGAGTTTCCTCATATATGTGCCTTAACTGTCCCAAGCTGAAAACCAGGGCTGGCTTTGGAGGTGAGTGATATGCGCAGTTCCCGCAGTTCCGTAGCAGTTCACACCTGCTTTAGCGCTCTGCTGCTGTTGCCTTCACATTCTTAGTAATTCTGAACATAGGAACCTGCATCTTTCGAACTCCTGACCTTGAGCAATCCTCCTGCCTCGGGCTGCCTCGACCTCCCAGAGTACTAGGATTACAGGCGTGAGCCACCGCGCCCGGGCTAGGAACCTGCATCTTTGTTTTGCACTGGACCCTAAAAATTACATAGCTGGTCCTGCTAAGAATGATCCCACTGCTCTTAAAAGCATCTGAGCAAGGAGTCTGCTTTGTTGCTCCCATTCCTGGGATTCCTGAGGTCGGGAACTGCAGCCTGGTCACCTCTGTCCTCTGCAACAGGCAGTGCTCAGTTCCCTGAACAGAGGGCGTCCTCAACAGCAAAACGGAATGAAGGAATGAAGCGTCTGTGTGTGTGCACGCGTGTGCCTGCGCACGCACAGGTCAGCCTATGTCCAAGGGGAAGTTATTGAGCCACTGAATTGCAAAGTGTAAGAGACTGATGAGGGTCAGGCCCGGCTGCATCCAGGGACTCAGCACCGTCGCCAAGACGCTGGCTCTTGGCTCTGCTTCCTCCACGCGTCTCCTCTCAAGCTCTCAAAGCACCAGGCCGACATACCACCAGCGCAGCCAGCTTTCCGAGGAAAGTTTCCACCACAGTCAAGTCCCAGGCACATGCCCCTGTACCAATCACTACCAGAGGCTGTGATATACTCATTGGCCAGCCCCCAGTCACATGCCCACCCCTGAACCAATCACTGGCCCTGGCAGCTCTGATACTCTCATTGGCAGGCTTGAGTCACGTGCTCAACCCTGAACCAGTGAGTGGCCCTGGCAGCTGAGACGCTGTCATTGTCAGGTCTGGATCACGGGTGGGGAGAGACACCTTTCCAGATGGACATCAGGATGCTGTTCTCAGAGGAGGAGAACATTTGGTGCTGGGTGGCCAAAAACAACTAGTAACACCACGGTTTCTCTCTGCCTATCTCCCAGCTGGTCCCTCACCTCCAAGCAGCCTGACAACCCTGGTGACTGGGAAGAGCAGCCTTGGGAACCTAGCAACAGCAGGAGGTCCAGGGGACATCATGGGTTCAAGCAAGCAAAAGGCCAAGACTGGAACCTCAGCGGGGCAGATCAGGCAGGTGCTTGAGGCCAGGTGGTCATTCTACATAGTTACCACCAGAGGGCAGCCTTGCCTAGAGACATGGTAAACAGGAGAGGGTCTGGTAGCTACAGGTGACTCCTGTCCCCTGCCCCCTCCCCAGGCATGGCCCACCAATGCTGAGCCTGGCTCTAAGTACTTTTTATGTATCAACTCAATGAGTTATCACCAATAAGGTTGGTACATTTATTACCCCCATTTTACAGATGAAGAAACCAAGGCTTTGGAAACATTAAGTAACGGGTCCAAGGTCATACAGCTAGAAAGGGAGCAAGTCATGTACCTTTTCCACTAACCTCTGAGCATCCTGAGGTCAGAGGTTGTATCTTGTCCTTATTTGAAGACCCCATGAACCCTGTTTGCTTAATGAATATCTGTTGAAGTGAGAGCCTGGGGGGCTGAGGGGCTGTCACTGCATTCCCTCCACCCTCCCCCTTCCAGGTACTGCACCACACAGGTGGAAGACAGAGTTTTCGATTTGGCAGTGGCACGGCAACTCCACAGTCTCAAGGTGTAGGGCGACATCTGTGCCACTTTCTGGAGTGGCTGGCGGTGTGACTGGGCTGGGAGGAAGAACACATTTAATGTGAATTCATTCAGCAACCCCCACTGGACTCCCACCTGGGCCCAACACCATGCGGAGTGCTTTGAGGGGGACAGAGGGAAGCATGGTACAACTCCCTCTCCCCAAAGC